TACTGCTATTTAAAACCATTGATGAGAGATACACAATTGATTAGAAATTAAAATGGAAAGAGAATACCAATACTACCAACCTTGATCCATACATGAACTTCCAGCTCCAATACATTAGTTGATAGCCCAATGCAATGGAAAGTTCTCTTGCAGAGAGTATGTATGATTTTAACCCAGTTGATTTTTCCAATGCAAAGCTCCACATGGTAGCAAGCACAGAAATGAAACACAAACCTTTACTACCAATTGTGGACCAAAAAACTGTTCTTAAAAATTAAGTTAAACAATACATATCAAATTAACACACATGAATGCATGTGAATGATGTAAGCCTCATAGTTGTAAGCCTCATATCAAAAGTGATGAGAAGTCTAAATAGAAATGAAGCCTACCTTATTTCCACCATCTATGAGAATGGGATCACAAAAACAAACAAATATCCCTTTCTTTGAAGAGAATTTCAAAGGAGTTACTGATCTTGAAACAATGTCTTCATAATCAGAGGGCAAGAACCTCTCCTAAACAATGTTAGAATTTGCTGCAGAACGAAACGAAGACGATACTGACAAAGACCTGCATGCATCCAGAGGTGAGGTGTTGGAGAGAATTGTGGATAGTCTTCTGGCAACATGGTTGAGTACAACCCTGGAATTGTTTTGGTTTTTTGTTTTTGTTTTTGCTTTAAAAAATGTAGGAAATAAATAGGCAGTGCAAAATAGAGTTTGAAATCAAAAATCAAATGATATCAGAAGACTCATTCTTTGTACTTATTTTGTATTCCAAACATTTTAGGAGAAGTTACAATTAAGTGCATATTTTCAAAATAAATTTCAAATTAATGGCATATCTTATCAACTTTAATAATTGAAATTATAAAAAAATTTCATGACTTTACAATTTTTTTTTTTGGTCATACAACTAATTCACAACAACATTTTAATATAGGTCTGAAGTTTGACTTATCTAGAATGAACATCTTCTTTCCTCAATAAATGTTAATAATTTATTAGCCAACAAGCTTTATGTTCATATGACCAATCAAAGCATGTGAAGATTTGTTTTAGGTGGTTGGCTCTCAAAAAACTGCAACAGAACTTGTTACAAAGTCCAGGCCTATTCCTTTTTCATTACTTCGACAAAATGGATCACAAAACACTTAGAATGGTGTGAATCTTATCATGTGTGTGTTTACACAATAAGCCCCACTCCCTGTGACATTTTTGCAATTTAATTTTGTGTAGAGATGTTTTTGTGAGTATTAATATTCACAAAATTATTTTAAAATCTTAGAAAGCTATTAGTGTAACAACCCTCCCCTCACTCTTGTCACACTTGCATACATTCCTGCATGATTTTGCCTTGTCATGTTAATTGGAAGGATTTGCTTGCCTTGTTTTGTTTGTATTGCTTGCGTGGTTTTGTTCCTTGTTCGGTGTGTGTGTGGCAGAGGTCATCTTGAGCTTAGTTCGCCTTTGAACCTTTGTACTTAGAACTTTTTTGAGACCTTGGTCGACCCCCATCTTCACCTCGGGCATTATTGCCGAGATGTTTTGCGCTTAGTGAACCTTGTCCGCAGGCAGGTATGGCCTAGGCCGAGATGTGGCACACCCCGGCCAAGGTGTGGCACAGCTTAGTCAAGTGTCGTCCTCCCAAGCCGATGTCTTTGTTATCCTGTTGCCGGATCCTTGATTTGAGCCGATGTCATTTCTTGCCGATGTGTCTTACCCAGCTTGCTGCATACGCTTTGTCAAAGACCTGTCTTATCTATCAATCACCTTTTTGAGTTTAACCAACCCGGTAGCGCCACATGTCTGAGCTGATCGTTAAGACAGCCGGCAGACCTAGAAACAAATCATTTTTGTCTCAAATCTTTGCCTTTAGAGAGAGAAGCTCTAGAGAAAAGGAAGAGAAGTTCTTGAGTGAGAGCAAGTCTTCCAAGCTTGATCTTCGTGGTTTGATCCGTTGGATTTGAGTTCTGAGGTTAGAATCTTGATCTACTTTGATTGTTGTTGTTGATCCTCTAGCTGCATTGCACGATTGGATTCGTTTTGCATGTCATGCATTGCTTGAAAGTTGGTTTTGAAAAGAGAAAATGGTCTTCATGTGTTCTTGAAGAAAGTCTCGTTTTGATCCGAAAGTTTGGAACGAAAGCCACGTTTTTGTGTTTGTTCTTGCATGACTTTCTTGTGTGGGTACCCAGGTCCATGTTTTGAACTCTTGGCATGAAACCTCAGATTTCTGTAACAAGTTTTGAACTTGCATTCATCTTTCTCACGATCATGTTCATCATGTTCTTCATGTGCTTCAAAGGGGAAGCCAGGTTTCCCCGACTTTGCTTTTGGTTAAGGCCAGCGGGACCACACCTCAGCAAGGATGTGTGGGACCTCGGCAAAGACCTAGTTGGTACCCAGTGTGTTTTCATGAGATGGGAGAAGTGCTTAAACTCCCAGCATGTTTTGCTTTGCTTTGCTTTTGACTTGGATCTGGTGAGAACGCCAGGATCATCTGCATGCATATAAAACTTGTTTTGAGAATGTGATTTGCCATGTGATTGTAGGTCCTTGATATTTGCTTTGAGTCTACACCTGAAGAACTAGGTGAGTGGTATTTTTGATAAAGCTATGTTACACTTGTTTTTGATAAATCTTGCTTTGTTTTGTTTTGACGAGAGTATTTGCTAAGCATGAATGAATAGCCCTGTTTTGATGTATCAAGTATAGGCCTTGTTTTGATGTTACTCTTGGAAAGTCCCTTGTGCTGGAGGACTCTAAATTTTCGCAGCACTAAGTATAAAAGGATACGGTCCTCTCTTGGAAAGTCCCTTGTACTGGAGGAATCTAAACTTTCGCAGTACCAAGTTTGAAAGTCCCTTGTACGGGAGGACTCTAAACTTTCGCAGCACTAAGCATAAAAGGATACGGTCCTTTCTTGGAAAGACTACTATGTTAAATCGAGCTACGGGCCTTAGTAACACAAGTCCCTTGTGCTGGAGGACTATAAACTTTCGCAGTACCTTTGGCTAATCGATTACGGATCGAGCAGTCTTTGTTTTGCCACTGACGGTTTACCGCGTGGACTTGCTTGAGACTTGTAAGATTTGATTGATGAATACGGTTCATCCCTTGTTTTGCCGATGTCAGTAAGCATCCCTTGAGACTTGTAAGATTTGGTTGATGAATACGGTTCATCCCTTGTTTTGCCGATGTCAGTAAGCATCCCTTGAGACTTGTAAGATTTGATTGATGAATACGGTTCATCCCTCGTCTTGATAAAGTTTGATGTGTTTTGTTTTGAAAGACTCCGGCTATGTTCATGCAAAACCTTTATTATTAGTACCATTCACTGAGTATCCAAGCTCACCCTCTCTATATATATATGTAGGTGATGAGCAGGACGTCGGCGACGCCTAGACTGTTTTTTGAAAGCTTATTTGGACTCATGATTATGTCAGCTTTGTTTTTGTATTCACGTCGGCAATGTCATTTATTTTTATGTCGGCAATTCTTGAAAATCATGCTTCTTGGCTTGTATTAACTGTATTTTGTATATGTCGGCTCAAGAAGCCTTTTGATCAAGATGTAACCCGTCTTTTACTTTGTTGTATTCAAGTTGTAAAGTTAATTGGAAATGTTTGGCATTGCATTTGATCTATGCACAGCTCTTAAGGACCACTTGTATTTTAGATTATTGCTTCCGCGTTTGTGAGCCCCGTTTATCATACTCTGATTGTGTTAAGTTTTTGAAAGTTGGCCTTCGGTAATTACAGATTACTGGCCATCACGGCACCAAATTACTATGGGCGGTTTGGGGTCGTGACAATTAGGTAATACAATTAGGCAAACAAATGGTTAAAAGTGCCTCTCAGTTATTGCAGAAAAAAATTGAAAAGCATACTCATCCCTAGAAAAGTGCCTCTCAACTAGAAAATTTCATTATCTGTATTTTGTATTTTATTGCAACCCAAATAAATTAGTTATAAACAAATGAAAATAAAAACAAACAAAACATTAAGATCTGGATTATATGCCTCCATACACTATAATCTATCAAAGATTTATGTACCCACAAAAATTTAAACAAACTGCAAATAAAAGATTGATCACTCAAAAAATGGATACATCTTTCAATTGGGTTTGCATAAAACACAAATATATAAGAATTTCAGGGCAGAAAACACAAAAAAACAATGATCAATATATTTGCTGTGTAAGGAAAACATGACAAATCCCAAAACTAAACTAGCCACAAAGCCAACATCTGTAAAAAAACAAAAAAAATCACCAAAAACCAGAACCTCAGTCCTCAGATCATCCAAACAAGAAAATCTCCCAACAAACACACACACACACACGTATATATACACATTATATTTATGGAAGAACATGAAACCAAAAGAATTGAATAACCAAGAAGTCAACAAGATCGGAGCAAGAAAATGCATATGGGACTTAGCAATAGCCAATAGTGTCAAATTTCATAATCACATATATATTGGGCTCAGTAATAGCCAACAGTCAGCAAGATTGGATGAACAAAATGCATGTTAGATTCTGATACGCAACTAAACCTAACCTTATATATTAATATGCAAAATTGATGATTGATAGGTTTTGAAAAATTAGGGAAATCATTCATGAACATAAACATTGTGAGAAAGTGAGAGAGAGAGAGAGACAAAGGGTTTATAACTCAAATTGATTTTAGGGGGAGTTGAAGATGCTTCGAAAAATGGAGAGGGCGTGGGTCCTGGTGGGTAAGACATTGTACAACAAGAAGAGTATGAGAAAGAAAAGTGAAGAACATTGAGAGGGCAAACGGTTTTTCCCATATAATGCAATGAATAAATTCAACTCTTCTCATAATCAATGGTGGACCATACTTACATACATAATCCTAAACAAAATTTGAGTGAGTCAATTTGTCAAACAGCTTATAAGCTATATATACCTAATATAAAAAAAAATGCTTAATTACATCATATAATTCAATTAAATTCATCATCAAACGAGCAAAGAATCAACAAAAACGTCATCAATTTTCTCAGCCACTTTCACGGCGATCTCTTCAAGCCCTTTCTTTAATATTTCCAAATCTTCAATGCTATCACTCGCATCGAATTGCAGAGCATCCAACCACGAACTCAACCGGTGGTGGTTCGCGGCGGCAGCCTCACAACCCTCTTCTGCCTTCTCTCCGGCGGCGGCGGTGTTCAGGTAACGGTCGACAAGGGCATCGAAGGAGGGCTCGCCGTAAGTGTAGGGACGGCCAGTGGGGGAGAAGGTGAGGATTGCCATGTTGGCGCCGGTGAGGGATCGGAGTTGTCGGGCTTTGTTGAAGAGACCATGACGTCTCTTGGAGAATGTAGGATTTTTCTATGATACATGAAGATGGTTTTCATGTACCATACATAAATAAATTTGAACCATTAGATCTAAAAGTAAAATAAATCTAACCATCGATTGGTAATCATTAAAATCGGGTTAAGAAATCTAGGTAGTTTCGGAAAAAATAAGATAGTTTTCAATGATTTTGAAACCAAAAAGCGGTTGTCAACTTACCACAATAACTAAGTACACTTCCTATTTGATATGATTATACTTATTATTTTTAATAACTATACTTACCATTCAATTATTAATAAAATACACATAACCTGCTATTCAGGTAATAGGTAAACTTAAAAAATTAAGTTATAATAAATTTTCAAAACCTCTAAAATAAATATAAAATTTATAAAATAGAATTTAAGAAAAAAATATACAAAATAAATGTGAATTTTATACATGTTATTATAATGTATTACATTTTATGAAATATGATTTTTTATTTATTTATTTATTTATCTATTTAATGGCAATAAATGAAAGCTAGTTTCCTTTTCATTTTCCACACTTGAAAATAATAAATGCAATTAATGAAGAAATATAATTAATAAAATATAGGAAAATTTAAAATTTATTTGAGGATTCCATGAATAAAATTTTATGTTTATTTTTAAAAATTTTGAATATTTAAAGATTTGAAGATAAGATTGTTGTTGATTTGGAACTGTTTAGGTAAGAATCTATGTCTCTGTAGTCACTATCTGTTTTTTTTTTACTTTAACTTTCCATGATATTTTGAATTTATAAATTTTAATGTTCTGTTGGAACAACATTTCACCTAATTAAAAGAAAAATTATGAGATTTAAGTGGTAAGAAAAAAAAATCAAGTTTGATGAAATAATAAGTGCAGTCTTAAGTTTAGTTTAAATGATTGATTAATCAAGTCTACTAACATAGTAAGTAGAGTCCCATTAAGTAGTAAGTATTGTTTAAGTAATGAGTCAAGTTTTATCAAGTAGTAAATAGAGTCTAATTGAGTAGTAAGTATTGTTTAAGTGATGAGTCAAGTTTGATAAAGTGGTAAGTAGAGTCTCATTGAGTAATAAGTGTTATTTAAATGAGTGGTAAGTTAAGTCTGATAAAGTAATAAGTAGAGTCTTATTGAGTAGTAAGTGTGGATTAAATGAGTGGTAAGTAAGTATGGTTTAGATGAGTGATTTCCAACTTACTAGAACAACTAAACACACTTACTACTTGATATGGTTGTGCTTACTATTCCACATAACTATACTTACCATTCAAACATTAATAAAATACACCTCATGTCACACCCCAAACTCACCCCTAAAAGTTTGGGCATGACCACCTCAGAAACGGACACAAAAACCTAATGAATATAACCTATGGGGCCTGAACGGAAGCATTTAATAACATATAATAACGTAAAATAATATCCATTGAGCTACCACTACTATGCCAGGATCACAACAGAACATAATGCAGATAAATATACAGTGACGTGCATCTGAAGATAACCATGTACATATACACATACAGACCCAGCCCTCAAGGTCGAGCGTATAACGAAAACATGAGAAACTAAACGGATTACATACACATCAATCTTAACAGACTTTTAGGGTACAACTTAAAAACTTAGCAAAACTCCATAACTTGAACGGTCAACATCTAAGAGTTTAGATACTCAGGGATTGACAACTGGGTAACGGAAGCCACAAGTTAAGGTTGACCTCCAGGTTGAGTGCCTACAAAAACAGACATAAAATAAAGTGAGTGAGTCAAGCTCAGTGAATAATAGCACATAACAATTCAATGTTCAACATGAATTATAATACATATCCGAGCATTTATCAATAAAGAGAACATATGGTTAATTTGTTTCTGTATGCATAGCAAAGTATCTTCTTCAGAAAACTTGTCATATCTTGAACATTCGGAGTTTCGTAGCGTATCTAGGCATTTTGGGAAAATTATCCAGAAAACGTATCATAACTTAAACATGTCGGAAGTTCATAGCATTTTTATCATTTCATAAAATACTTATCATATTAAACATTCTGTAACCCAAAATATGGATTTCATTAAACATTGTATAGCATAGTCATTTTCAAAATCATTTATACAAAAGTATCTTTTACAGAACAGCCTTGGGCCCCATCTTAAATAGAGTGGCTTTCAGCCCTTAACAGAATGGCATGAAATCCTTAACAAAATGGCATGAAGCCCTTATCAGAATGGCATAAGCCCTTATAATGGCATAAAGCCCTTGTAACGGCATAAAGCCCTTCTATTGGCATAAAGCCCTTGTAATGGCATAAAGCCCTTGTATTGACATAAAGCCCTTGTAATGCATGTATGAACTCAAGAGATGGCTCGTACGGATTCTAGAGGTGACTCGCATTGCAGCACTTAGTTCCGTACAGCACTTTGTTTCGTACTAACAGATCATACAAAATGGCCATAGGCCTCATAACTTCCACATTGGCTTTACGCCCAGTTCACATATGTATGGACTCAAGAGGTGGCTCGTACGGATTCTAGAGGTAACTCGCATCGCAGTACTTAGTTCCGTACAGCACTTTGCTCCATACCAGAATTTCATAGGTCTTATAGACCGAATCATCATATCATGTCATAGCACATAACTGAAACAGTAATAGAAGTAATTTCAGTTTCCTTAGAATTCCATTATGCAATAATGCACATAAGTTTCCCATGGCTTGGTTACAAATTAATACAGGTGTCTCGCGTACAACTGAATAATAATAATAATAACAATTATTAACTGAGCCCACATATATCATTACCATATGCTTAATAAGGGCAGAATAACCCACATTCTAACATGAGTTACATAATAATGTTAAACATTTGCATGCATGTCATAGGTTCTTAACGACCTCGGGTCCACATGTAACATAATGGAATAATCTCCATTTCATACAGATACTTGGTTTAAAGATAACCATAATTCCATTTATTCATTAAGAAACGACGTAGTTTGCTTATAGATCATAGAGAATTATTACTCGTTATTGATAGAACAGAGTCATTTCAAAGTCATACCGATGTATGCCAATCTTTCAACGTTCACCTTGACTTTCAATCATAATAAATGTTCGTATAACATGTTCATGTAAGACTTACAAGAAACAAAGCGTTAGTGATAATAATTATCAATGGTAAATAAAATGTACATCTTCGTACTATTACTCACAGTGTGTTGGTGGAACATTTATTCCTCCCGAAGCGTGTCCTACACACATATGAAATCACACATTAATTCTCTAAATTATTTCCCCTAATTTCCTTTCTCATTTTAACATGATTCACAATGCTCATAATAAAGTTCATTCGCAAATTTTTAACATTATTTCAAAACATCTCAAAAATCCAATTAAACTTGTACACGTATAATTCAACCCACCAATTCCATAATTCTATTTTCAATTTGGGCAAAATCATTAATTATCATCACAAATTAACCTAGGGTTTTAAGAAAAATAAAGTTTTCCATAAAAATTCAAACTTCTCATACCATTACCTTACATCCCAATTTTCTCCTTGATCATGCATCTAAGGGTCATACTCCATCACCTTAACCCATGAATTGAACCCTCAATGCTTCAAACCCGAAATTCCCAAATCTCATAATTACTCTATATGCTCAAAATGAAAATCCGTACATTTATACAATGAAAATACTACAAATCTATCTCTTGATGTAAGTATTGAAGAAAACTAGAATCCCTACCTCAATAATCAAGCAAAGGAGTGAGCTTGAGAAGAAGCCTTCGCAAATCCGAGTTCCAATCGGGTAAAAACATTGTTCTTCTCTTATTCTCCATTCTTGATGCAAAAACCATGGTGGATTGTTGATCAAAGTAGAGGAAATCAAGGTTTTGGGGCTAGGGTTTCAAACTAAGAATGAGAGGAAAGAAGAGGGGAAAAGAAAAATGTGAGAAAAGATCTAAAATCCCGTTTTTAAGTTGCTGTACTCGCAAAACCCGCTCGAGCGTCCCTATTCCCGCTCGAGCATACCTGCTCCCAGCACAGATTCCAAAACTTCAAACATGCATAACTCTCTCATCCGGACTTCGTTTTAGGTCGTTCTTGTGTGTAAATTGAAGCCCCGGAAATAAGCTTTCCAATAGTTCTAACCTCACATCCAAATTCGAAGTGTGGAAAAAGAAAAAGGAAAAAGAGTGACTGCTGAACGTAAACGAATTGTTCGAATTAAAGTTTTTGGTCCAATCTTACTTTGCCATCAAATTACCATCCCAATCAATACTCCAAAATAAAATAGGAAGGTTCCAAATACACTACTACAATGTCAAGGGTAATCTTACTTTTCACGCTCGAGCGCCTCTTTCCCCGCTCGAGCGCGCACAGACCAATAAAGCAGTCCGCTCAAGCGTCAACTCCTCCGCTCGAGCGGAGATTCACAACTCCCAGAATCTCAGGCCGTCTGCAAAATTGCTAGGAACCCCAAAAGTCCGCTCGAGCATCAACTCCCCCGCTCGAGCGGAGGGAAAAATTCCAGATCCTTACAAGTCAATTTCAGATTATCAAACTCTTAAGGCTTTCAATTCTTAATCCCAACATTCTATTTGTGACAGATATGTCTCCTTATTCAACAGATATGAATCCATATTCATAAGGTTCACTTAATTAAACTTAATTCCACGTGACATTTCACCATAAGTATATAAATATGCAAAATGAGGGACTGAAAATATATCGGAAACACATGCGAGGGTTGGGTTATTACATCGCGCGTACTCATTGATCCGGGGAGCACATCGGAAGTTGTGTATCACAAGACATTCACCAAACTCGGCTTCTCTGAATCGGATCTTTCTCCAGCCTCTTATCTATTTTTCGGCTTCAACGCGAATCCAGAATACCTGTTGGGGAAGATCACATTACCTGTTCGAGCGGGCTCCCG